TTTGTAACATTCTTTCTCTCCTTTCCTCTGACACTGCTACCATCCTGCTGTGCAGGTCTTCATTACCTCATGCCTGGACTATTGTAATATCCTGCTGATGGGTCTTCCTGTATCTCCTCTCAGTGTCATTCCTCTTCCATTTAGCCACCAAAGTGATTTACCGAAAATGAAGATCTGACCATGTTACACACCCGCCTCTTTTCACTTCTCCCACTCAATAAGCTTGAGTGGTTTCCTGTCACCTCCAGAATCAAATACAAAACTGTTTGACATTCAAAGCTTTTCATAACCTAGCCCTGTCCTACCTTTCTAGGCTTAGATCCCTGCTAAATACTCTTCAATCCAGCGACACTGTCCTTCTTGCTGTCCCACAAACATTACATCTTTCAATCCCAGAAGGGGGTAGCTAGGTGGTTCAGTCGTCCTGGAGTCAGTAGGACCTGAGTTCAAATCCGGCCTCAGATATGTAACACTCAGTAGCAGTGTGACTCTGGGCAAGTCACTTAACTCCAATTGCCTCACAAGAAAAAAAAAAAGCAGTATTTAAAAAAAGCAATATCTTTTAATCCCAGGCATTTTCTCTTTCTCTTCCCCATGCCTAGATATGTTCTTCCTCCTTATCTCTATCCTTGACTTCCTTAAGTCCCAGCTTTCCCAACCCGTCTTAATACTAATGCTTGCTCTCTCTCTCTCTCTCTCCCTCTCTCTCTCATTTATTTCCTATTTATCCTGTATATGGCTTGTTTGTACATATTTCTTTGCTTGTTATCTCCCCCATTATATGGTAAGCTCTTTGAGGACTTTTTTGTATTCCTAACACTCATTACAGTGTTTGAAACATAGTAGGTATCTAATGTTTATTGACCTATTTCAAAATATTTTTGGTTATTGATAACTTATTAGGATTTTAGGAATGGTTTTAGGTCCATTTTTAAAAAAGCAAGAAAACACTTGCTTTCAACAAAAAAAGGTTCTGCCACAATTCTCTAAAAATGTTGATGAAAGAAATTTCAGTTAAAAAATTTCAATTAAAAATAGTAATCCATAAATGGCTTTTTTTTTCCTTTTAGGCAGGTGGGGTTAAGTGAGTTGCCCAGGGTCACACAGCTAGTAAGCGTCAAGTGTTTGATCTGAGGCCACATTTGAACTCAGGTCCTCCTGACTTCAGGGCCGGTGCTGTATCCACTGCGCCACCTAGATGCCCCCCATAAATGGCATTTTTAAGGTGAAGATTTAAATGTGATGAATCAGAATGTGTTATAGTTTTTGCCAATGAACAAGTTTAATAAAACTTGATTAAAGTGGCTGTTTATTAAGGAAAATCAAGTGCTCAGTTCAATTTGTTGAATTTATTAGATATCATTATAACTTAAATTTGAGCACTTGAAAATAAATTATTTGGAAAGAAACCCTTAACAGAAACCAAAACATAAAAATCATCAGATCAAAAGTTCAGGAGATTTTGATGGTTTGAAATAAGGTTTGACCCTGAGTCTCCTATGTCGTGTAATGAGTCTAAGTAATTGCCTCATCTGCAAAATGAAAGGATTGAACTAATAATCTTTAATATTATGTGAATAGAGATTCTTGTTGATGATCTTTACTTACAAACAATGAAATGTAAAGCATTTAATAAGTTGCAAAGACTAATTTTGATATTATTGAATATACTTTAATTTAGGGATTTAGACTAAAAAGATATGCTTATAGGTTTGTTACAAGGATAGAGGTTCATTGCATCACAGGATTTAGAGCTTGAAGAGACCTTATAAATCATTTAATCCAGTCCCTCACTTGATAGGTGGTTGTGAAGTTAGTTCTTAGGTATTTCAGATGGTAGTTGGATAATGTTATTTCAGCCACTGGATTATTAAGGATCATTTGGAAAAGGAAGACTGACAGGTTCTGAGCCATATATTAATAGTTGAGAACAAGGTGTAGACATTAATGGCCTTGAAAACTTCACTTAGCTTTGGACTATGAGTCAGTGATATTCTTTACTAAATCTGTTTAGTAAAATCTTCCAGACTTCTGGAGTCCATCATAGCTGAGAATTATGTATATACCTGTTTGAGAGGTAGAACTTGCTGGACAGCCATTGGATTGAGAAGTAGGGATTATGACTTAGGTGGGACCCTGAAAGTAATTAGCTGATGTTCTAGGAGTTTTTCTAAGGTAGAGAAGCCAAATTATCCCTTTCATATCAATCTAATAATTTGTTCTGGTAGTTTCCTGGTTATGTCCTTGAAGATCCAGATTCGCTTGGAATTCCACCAAGGAAAGATGGATGGAACTACTTTATTTCCAATTTCATTACCTTGGAGATGGTAAAACAAGCCTCACCTACTTCTGCCATAAATATAGATGGCACAGTAAATGAACAAGATGTAGACTCGGTGGAAGGCCCTAGATGAGAAGTTTTGTTAGACCTCATTCCAAAGGCCGGATAAGGACATGATGACCTCAGGGTTTTCATTATAGATAGTTTTGTTGAGGCCCTTCTGGAACTTGACCACCAAGGTCATCTCTTCATATTTCAAAGGCCTGAATATTCACAACTTGATTGATTATAGGTAGATTATATCTACATATCTATATCTGTCTATATCTAGAGGGAGCTACTGATTTGCTGATGGATGGCTTTAGTCTATATTGTAGTTCTTCAAAAATCTGTTGAAATTTGGTGATGTAACTCTTATAGTGGCCAACAAAGCACTGTTTATGAACATGGCCCAGCCTGTCTTGTCAGATAACTAGTCAAGAGGGTCATCTTACTGAAGTCTGTGGACTTCAGTTTTGCACACAACAAGATCTGGGTCAGGAAGATTAATCATGCTTTTTAGGTTCAATCCTAGGATAGAATACCTTGAGAGGTTGAGCCTTTTTATTTACTTAGGAATACTTAGGAATTCAATGAGGAGTTAGTGCTATAACCTCAGAGCAGATGGGGAACTCTGCAAGGGCATTGATGGATTAATTTACCCCAGGCTTTCCTTGTACTTGATAGCTGATTCATCCCTCAAGGGTAAAACTATAGAGCTAGAACTATGACAAGAATAAAGGTCGGAAAGGACAGTTTTCACACTTTGACTAAGCAAAATAAACGGCACCAATAGAATGTGAGATATTGGCTATAACAAAATAGGAAAAAAAGATTTGGAGATTAAACTAGAAAACCAGTTGACCATGAATTAACAACATAGCCTTATTTAAAAAGCAAACATGATATTGGAATGCACTAATAGGAGCATTATAGCATAAAATGTCTATGAGAACGTCCTCCTTTTTATACTCAGCTTCTAAAAGACTTTTATAATCTTTGTCAAATTCCATGACTTGTAATAAAATTGTATTGCAGCTTCCCTCACTCCATTGAAAACTAGAAAAATTATATTCAAAGATTGAAAAATAAGTCTATTCAGAAAAATAAGAAGAATTTCTGCTTTTCGGCATTGAGAATAGGTGATAAGTAACTTAATTCAAGACACAGAACTATGAAGCATCCTCATACAGGTGGCTGATGGTTCTGTGTCATATTTAACTAAGAGGCAGCTAAGTTGTGCAATGTTTAGAGCACCAGGCCTGGAGTCAGTAAGACTTAAATTCAGATTTTACCTCATCTACTTAATAGTTGTGTGACAAGTCACTTAACCCTATTTGCCTCAGTTTCCTTATCTGTCAAATGAGCTGGAGAAGGAAATGGCAAACCACTCCAGTATCTTTGCCAAGAAAAACCCGCAAGGGTTCACAAAGAGTCAGACAACTGAAAAACAACTGAAGAACAACAAAATTATTGTCATGTTGGTGACAGATGCTTCTGCCTCTCACCTCACCAAGAGGGAACTGGTGGTCCAGTGGATAAGGTTTGTGCATGGAGTCAGCCTTTAATTTCCTCAGCTGTGAAATGAGGAAAGTAATAGTACCTATCTCAGGGTTTTTGTGAGGATGAAATAAATACTTATAAAATGTGCTTGACACATATAGCCTGGTATGTACCTGGCACATAGTAGGCTCTGTTATAGATAATTATTCCCTTTCCCCTGTCCCCTTCCTTTTCCAAGGTAAAGCAATTTGCAAACTGCAGAATGAGGGCTTAACCTTTTTTTGTGTGTTATGGACTACTTTGGCAATCTGGTGAAGCCTGTGGACCCTTTCTCAGAATAATGTTTTTAAATGCATAAAATAAAATGATATTATGAGGGGAACAAATTATATTCAAGTGTAATTATCAAAATATTAAAAGCAAACACAGATACTAGGTTATGAATCCATCATTTCGGCTGTCTACAAGAAGTTTCCTAATGATGTGAAACTTATTCAGTTAACCAGTTTAATTCAACAGACTCTTATTAAGTTTCCTCTCATCCCTAGGCTCAATTTGCTTTATCAGATGAGGTAACTCCACTTCATAATCTCTTAGGTCTCTTTTAGCATATCCTACAAATCTTTCAGTGTTAATATCCATCCCTCTGAACACAAGAACTGTTAGTGATGGAAATTGGCTATATAATTAATTTAACATGATGTTTTCTGCATGTAGGATTTTAAAAAAGCTTAGCTGAACTTAGAGTGTAACTAAAGACTGTTAATATTCCAGGCAGACACAAAATGGTATAAATTAGCTGGTTCTGAAAGACTAGCTTTTAGTAATGCCTTAGATCACCATTTAAAACATGTTAAAATATAAAGACTTAAATTTAGATTCTTGTTAATAAAAGAATAAGTTAAAGGTCCTTTTATATAGCTATTACCCTCATATTTCCCGCCCTCCCTGCTCCCCCACCCCCGAATTGCTCATATAGGAATGAAATACAGGAATAACATGTTCTTCTTCATGTGTTTGAGAAACAGAGATAATAAGGAAAGTAAAGAGTAGTAAAAATAATCTCCCTAACAATATTTTAGTTAAAGTTTCAGGATTCTTTCTCATTAAACCTTTCACCAGATATAGTAGCATAAAATTAACTGGCTTGAATTTTATCTGTTTATTCACAATACAGTAAAATGCCAAAGATCAGCAGGAGGAAGAGGTATCAAAATGGAGAGTATTGGAGAGACAGGCAAGTGTTAACTTTGAGTGGAGAAGTGCAAGAAGATTTTGATCTTAGTAAACTTATTGTTGATTGGGAAGCCAGAGGCCAATTTTTTTTTGTAATTTTTTGTCTTTCATTGTTGATGTTGAGTACTACTTCAGTGTTATGTATTATTAGTCAGTTTTTGATTATTTACATTGGGGTAAGGTATCATTGGTGTAGATAATAGAAAGCAGTGTTTAATTTGCAAACCTTGTCTACTTGTGTTGGAAATAAGCTATTTGGGGTTTGTTGGTTTGGTTTTTTTTGGAAGCTGATTTACCTTCCTAAATTTTATTTTTTTGGAATTAAGTGGAATATAAAACCTAAAAGCACTTTTTAAAAAGGTATGTCTTGTTAAATTTTACTTGGGTTAATATTAAAATATGTTTGTATAGTATGAATACACACATGACAAATTGGAAGAGTGTTCAGAATTTCCTTGGTTTTTGGTTACTTTATCAGTTTTCATAGCTAATTCAATCAAACCAATCAACAATTATTTATTAAGTGCCTGTTATATGTGAAGTATGAGATGCTAGCTGTGTAATTCTAGATAACTCACTTAAACTTTTGGTGAGAGCTTCATCTATGAAATGAAGGGGTTCAATTAAAAATTTAAGATTTCTTTCAGCTCTAACTTCTCTAACTCTAATTAAAATTTATAGAATATAGAAACAGATGATTGTTCCAATTTAAAGTTGATCTTATGAAAGCCCTTTTTGTTCTATTTTTGATTCAATCATACTATAAGCATTTCATTGGATCATAGATCAAAAATTAGAGGAGACCTTAGAGACCACAAGGTCCAGCCCCCTCATTTTAGAGGGAAAGACACTGAAGTCCAGGAAGTTTACATGACTTGTCCAATCTCTTGGAGCTGGTAAGTTTCGCAGGTGAAATTTGAACACAGAACATCTAGATTACAGAACTTAGGACACTTTCCACTCTACCATACTTCCTCCATGTAGTAGTTGGACATTGTGGTTACAAAGAAAAAAAAAGACACCGCCCTCAAGGAGCTTACATTCTAATAAGAGAAACATCTACAAATAAATACAAGGTAATTAGTCAATAAATATTTATTAAGCACCTTCTATGTGCCAGACACTGTGGGCTAAGTGCTGGGGATACATAGAAAGGCAAAAACAATCCTTACTCTCAGGGAGCTCACAGAAGGAGAAAACTTGAAAATTATCATGTACAAACAAGCGAACTACAGAACAAATATGAAATAATCAAGAGAGAGAAGATTAAGGGGAATCAGGAAAGCTTTTCTGTAGGTGGGAGTTTAGCTGATATTTAAAGAAAGACAGGGAAGCTTAGGAGGCAGAAATGAGGAGGGAAAGCATTCTGTGAATGTCTGTGGGACAGCCTAGTGAAAGTGCCTGGAGCCAAGAGATACAGAAAAATAGTAGGGAGGCCAGTGTCACTGCATTGAAGAGTAAGTCAGGATTGTAAGGAGTAAGAAAATGGGAAAGATAGGGGGAGGGATAGGTTGTGAAGGGTTTTGAGTACAAAATAAAGAATTTTGTGTTTGATCCTCATGGTGATAGGGAGCTCTAGTTCTTGGGGGTATCTAGAAGGGCATCATGTAGGAAACGGCATTTGAGCTTAGTTTTGAAGTGAGAAATGATTATTAGCAACCAATGATTTGGGGAATCCAGAGTGGCCACTTTTTTCTACAGTCCTGATTTTAAAAGTTCATTCTCTTGAAGGTAGCAAGATTGGACTAACTTTCTTGTTCAGACCCCACTCAGGTAGGGCAGCTGTCGTGTTCTATTCAGGTTTGGGTGGGGACAAATTCTTTGAATAGATTGCCCAAAGTTGGGGTTAACCGAAGAGGCGAATAATGTGCAGTTTAGGTCCATTCTTTCATTAATTGTTAACCAGTTAGGGTTAATTGCCACCCTGGGGAACACCTTACTCTTTGAAGAGCATAAAAACTAGGACCTGGGTCACCATGATTGTCTTTGATCTAAGAGAGAGGTGGCCAAATGATGATCCTTTTGTTAAAATGCTGATATTATTAATAAAATGATTAATTTACCCAGATATTATGTCTCTTGAACCTTTTAAAAAGCCACAGAAGGAAATTAGAAATTCTAAGAAGTAGAGGTAAGATGGGGTGCATTTCAGGCATGGGGGACAGCTCGTGCAAAGGCATGGAAATGAGAGATGGGATATTATTCATGAGAAGAAATAGTAATATTCAGCATAACTAATGGGTGGTTATTTCATACATCCTATTCATGTGTTTGCCTCATGCTATTTAATGAGTGAGTACATTATATTAAGAGGAATATTGTATGACTTTTTTTTTTCCTAGTACCTGTTGTACCTGAAATAAATTCGAAGAGGAGACAGGAAAATATGGGGCCAGGGAAGGAAGACCCAATGAAGAAGAAGAATAAAAAGAAAAAAGATTATCGACCTAATTATTTCCTCTCTATTCCCATCACCAACAAAGAGGTGCCATTATTTTTTGTTACTCAGGGTTTTATTAAATGTCTGTTAAACAGTTGTTTTTGTTTTCCCACTAGGGAAATGTAATACATTTTAGCTACTTGGCAGCTGTGTTAATCATAGCTAAAAAATGACTTTGTAATAATGACTATTGAAAAAACCACAAGTAGTGGTAATATGAGTGCTTGACTGTCTTTCCCAGCATCTGCTTTCCTCACCTGGGGAGCCTTTGACTGCATCCCTTTATTCAATGGTAAGACCAGAGATCACTGTCTTGGTAAGCAAATAGGACTCTGGTTTCCCTGCTGATTATTTGTTAGGGTGGGAGAGCTTGACCTAGGTAAAGAAAACTAGGCTTGATAGTCAGTTGCATTGTGTTACTGTGATGCTGGTTAATGCAGAGTAATTTCTTTTAAATGCCATTGAAATGCCATTTAATTTTGGGAATTGCATGTTGCTCAATGTCTAGATGAAATACAAAAGTGTGAATGTCATATAAAAATTTAGAAAGGTGGAAATGGGCTCAATCCATTTGCTCATTTTAAGAAAAATTTGTATTATGAAGAGAAAAAACCACAAGTGTCTACTTATATGCTGTTCAATCAATGATAAGACATTACATCATGGCTAAGTGCAGAAAGCCGACTCTGGAGTGTTTGAAAAAGGAATTGAATTTCCTTCTGTCAATCCATTTACATCCCAGAATTTCTAACTTCATATCTTGTGCCTTTTGAACCATATGATCCACTGACCTGAAAATCCGGAACTCAGTCTAGTCCTATTAGAACCCTAATTCATCACCATTTTGGTGACATAGATTTGTAGGTTGACTGGCAATCCAATCCCCATGTATAATACTGTTTCTATAGGAAAAGGCATTCCAAAGTCTAAGTAACCAACATTGCAAATAAAGTTTTGGAACACAATATGTTTGTAAGTTGAAGACTGCATGTATTATCTGTTGTTAGAGTGCCTTACGAATTATATATGCTTTTACAGGCTAGTCTGGAAACTTAACCTGTATTATAAAACATTTTGTTTCTGCTATTTCATCACTCTTATAGGATAATTAATACTGGAATATAAAGGCTGTGATACAATGTAAATATGCTGGTCTTGGAGTGTGGAAAGCTTTGGTTCAAATCTTGCCTTTGACAAAATGAATTACTTAACCATAAAGCTCCCTAGGCTTTAATGAATTTCTTAAGTAATAGATTGATATCTGTTTAATGGAAGGTGTTTCCATACTGAGAATCTCTTATACTGATCCTTCATATAATTTTATGTTGATTTAGCAGAAACAAGTAACATGGCCTTCTGTGTTGCTGTTTATAAGATTTAGTTAGTTCATTTCAGTGTTACAGTAGTCTATAGCGATTTTTTAGTTGTATGAAGTTTAAAATAATATCAATTATAGGCATTTATAATTGCATCAGTGGATCTGTGATCTCATTGAGTATAGTTATCCCTTCATTGGTATGAATTAGAAGCCATCTATACCTTATCCTGTTGTCTTCTAATCCATTTTCTTCTTAAATCCTCTACAGAGGATCTCCTCAGTGGGCTTTCTTCTAGTTCTTTTTAGTAGAGCACTCTGGCTGACTAGCTGTTATTTTTCTCTCTTGTCCATGACCAGCCTATTACTTTTTTGGTTATGTTTTCTTTATGATATCTCTTGTGAAGATTATCATTGAAAATATGCTGATGATTGGATATGTACTGTGTGACACTGGTGAATCCTTCTTGGGCAGAGTGGTAGTTGTTGGAGCCAATGCCAGGCATAAGGCTGGAGGATGAGAAGAGGGTACTAGACAGCTGAAAGGACACGAAGAAGGCAGAGAAGGAGAAAGAATTAGTGCATCCCTTAACAACAGTGAGAAAGTACTGTGAGCAGATAAGAAATGTGTGCAGGCCTGGGAGTGGCTTGAGTTTGGTGATGTTCCTGTGTCTGCCTCCTCTCATCCTGAGGAGGACTGCTCAGAGAGAGGTACTCTCTGACAGCCTGTTGCACTTCTAGAGCCAGTTGTATGACTCATGCTCTTGGAGATAAATGCCTGCACATACTCAATTGCTCCTTCAGACTTAGTAGGTTTTGTTCCTATCACGCTGCATCTCAAACACTTGGAATTCATGCCACTACTATTCCATGTGAAACTTGCCCAGAGGGCCTCTGGGTGCTCCACAGTAGTTCTGTCTTAGTAAAATCCAGTCAGCAGCAGGAACAAAGAAAGTATTCAGCAACTCACTCCTCCCCAATATATGTTGGTCTTTGGATCACCTGCAACATAGGAGTCTGAGGTATGCCAAGTTTTACAGCCTTATTGGGAGAATATTTAGACTGAAGATATGGGTCCTTGTGCCAGACCGTAGCTCAGGTTCATTAAAAGTACTATGTAATTTCCCAGAGCAATATGCTGACTTCTTCCTTCTTTATTTCTGGGCTTAACTCATTATCTATCTATAGTTCCTGTCCTAAAAATATATCCTAACTATGCCCAAAGGGCTATAAAAATGTGCATACCCTTTGACCCAGCAATAGCACTTCTAGGGCTGTATCCCAAAGATATACAAATGGAAAAAGGACCTACATGTACAAAAATATTTATAGCAGCTCTTTTTGCGGTGGCAAAGAATTAGAAATTGAGAGGATGCTCATGAATTGGGGAATGGCTGAACAAGTTGTGGTATATGAATGTAATGGAATACTACTTTGCTATAAGAAATGATGAGCAAGTACACTTCAGAAAAACCTGTAAAGACATGTATGGACTGATGCTGAGTGAAGTGAGCAGAACCAGGAGAACGTTAGACACAGTAACAGCCACTTTGTGCGATGACTAACTTTGAAAGACTTAGTTCTCAACAATGCAAAGATCTAAGACATCTCTAAAAGTCTCATGTTGGAAAATGCTATCCACATCCAGAGAAAGAACTATGGAGTTGGAATGCAGATCAAAGCATACTATTTGCTCTCTCTTTTTTTCTTCCATTTTGTTTTGTTTCTTCTTTCTTATGGTTCCTCCTATTGGTCCTAATTCTTCTTTACAACATGACTAATGTGCAAATATGTTTAATAGGAATGTATATGAAGAGCCTATACATATTGCATGCCATCTTGGGGAGGGAGGTGGGAAAGGAGGGGGAGAAAAATTTAAAACTCAAAAGCTTATGGAAGTGATTGTTGATAATTCCAAATAAATTAATTAAAAAATATAAAAAAAATATATAGTGATCACCCAGCTCAGTGGACGGGCTCTTCAACTTTGTGTCAAGGTCTGGATAGTGGACACTCCTCATCCATTTAGTTTTTCCTTGTATAGATTGTTAGGGCAATCTTATGAAGAATCATGGATTTTATTGAGAAATCCCTGTAATGTTCAGGGGCTTGATATGATCCACACAATATCTGTCATCCATCATTTGAAGCATCTGGAATATATCAATATTTGAACATAATCTCTTCAGTTTGAAATTTGTGTGTGACATCCTCTGTAAGTGGTGAACACCTTTGGCTACATTTTCACATATGGATTATTTGGATGCTTGTTTAGATGGGTTCCATTTTGACTTTGTCTTGAATGTAAGCAGGAAGACAGCTAGAAATGTTTCTGGGGATAGCAACATGTTGATTTTCAAATTTAATGCTTAGTCTTAAAGGGAAGGCAACTCTTGCTGTCAGGTAGAATCAGGGAAGATTTGGAGGGGTAGGTAATTGTTAAGAGTCAGAGTCATCCTAGCAGTCAAGGAATATGAAGGTAATTTCAAGATATATTTCCCAAAGTATAACCTTTGAAATTCTGTCTGCAGCCACAGGGAAAGTGCCTTCTCAAACCCAGGTAAGGTGGCATGTCCTGAGAGTCCTAGATTGTGCCCTTCTGACAAGCAGGTATTCTCAGAATCCCAGTAGCAAGAAATCGAGAATATTTTCCAGTAGCAAGAAACATCATTGTTATATAATATGTCCTTTAAAGTATTATTACTCTACTTGAAGTACATTATGAGTTAAGTAAGTTTTGTGGGTTAGCCTGGGAACTTAAGTATTACCTATAAAATTGTTTAGAGGGGAAATTTGCCCTCACTTCCAAATAAATGACTTAAGAGTAAATTTTTGGAACACAACCCATTTGTAAATTGGAAACTGTCTGTACTGTGTTAGATAACTCTACTTTTGGTGTCTGGATTTTGGCCTCTCTTTTTAAGAACTAAATATCCAGAACCTCCCAGGCTTTGGATTTTTAAGTGTGAAGTCATGTCTTTTGCAGTTTGGAAGTTCTTTTCCTTGTGAAAAATGATTACTTCATATTTCTAAGAAAAATAATTTTACTTTGAAATTAATCAGAAGACTCCTTGAACATGAGAAAGTATCTTCAGAATAACATTTTGATGAATTTGGTGCAACTAAAGGAGAGAAGTGTGTATATGTTTCTCTTCCAGGCACTACACATTGGTTTTAATATGAAGGGGAAAGAGATTTTAACAGATTTTGGATTCCAATGTTAAACCTAACCTATTTTTAACTATTTATCATTGTGCCATTAATGTTTCTATGAATCTTCTCTTGGGAAAGAAAACTGATGCTAATGTCTCAAATGCATTTATAAAGCTCCTATTAGGTGCTAGGGATATAAATACACAAATGAGAGTTCCAGTCCTGAAAGAGCTTGTATTCTATATACACATATAGGGAGTAATGACCAGGAAAGAGTGTGTGGATCTGGGGAGTCATGGAGGTGGTGAGTGGAGCCATAGGGCAGGTGATTGTCATGCTTATGCAATTAAATATGCTGGTATTGATTTGATTACTGTTCCCAGAACGACGGTGGTGGAATAGGAGTGTGGCATGTACTGGGATATGAGGCAGATATCTGTATAACATATGAAGCATGGTTTGGTAGTTTAGAGCCAGATCTTGTTGTGCTTTGAAATCAGGTATAAGGTGTTTGGACTTGATTTGGTCAGTGGAACACCACTGGAGGTTTTGAAAAAGGAATATGATGTGGTTGAAC